AACGGTCAGAAATAAATGGTTTCATAATGAGTGAACGTTGATAGGAATAAAATGAGTAGGACTTAGTTGATAAAATAAGATTATCAATTTGGAAGATAGTTGAAATAAAACTCAAATGCAAGAAAGAGTTTTAAAAATATTTTAAGATGCAGCAAAGGAATATTTGTCACCAAGGTAAGGAAAGATTAATAACCATCTCCTTTTGAACACTTAAGTTTTTGACACCTAATAGCAACGGCTTCAGCAAACTTCAGAAGACCGGAGTTTGGCTGCTTACTGATCATCTTGAAGGATTGCAACGTATCGACTTGATGTCCTGTATAAAAGAAATGTTTGGTAACTGAACTGTCTAGAGTCTTTTTTTCTCTTGTTCTGCGGCTTTTTAGAACATGTTCAAAAATATAAGATATGCTTTCGTTTCTGTTCGGCTAATGTTGCTTCCTTGACATTTACAAGAAAGCTTATAAATACACTTGGCGGTAAAATAATTTTTTGGTAAATGCAGCACTGCAAACCATTGTTAAAAAAACAGAACCTAGTGTTATCAAATGCAACACGTCAGTTATACAGTGCTCTATGAGATTTCAATAACTGGTCATTTAATTTCAATTGCATTGGAAAATGCTCTTTTATAAACTAAACATCATTAATACTAACCCAGAAAATGTACTTTTCTATGTAATGTAGGTAATTAAGTATTAGTGGATGTCTATGTTTGCGTGAGTTTTAAGATGAATGCTGTAATATGTCATAATTATCAGCAATAAATCTTTCTATTACTTATGCGGTAATTTAATCTTAAACTGGATATTTTTATTAACGTTCTAGATGCAATCAAACATATTTGAAACATAAAGGGAACTTTTATACTCTATCAAATTTTGCGATTACGTAGAAGATCCAATTTTAGTTGGTTTTTTTTACGATGAATTTCAGGTATTTAACATTCCGTCAACGTAGACGAACAGTGAGTATGGTGAAGGAATTACACTGATGAATTGGATGTATTCTTTGAGCTTACAGTTGCACAGTGTATTTACGATATTTTGTATCATGAGGTTAGATTGAAAAACATGCAAAATTTTCTTCTTTATCGAATTGATTGTAGTGTTTATGTTTATAATACAACAAAATATTCTGATTATTTATGTAACAGCCAGAACTATTTTGGGACATAAGTGTTAATTCGAATTATATTGGAATATATCAAGTTTGGAAACTGCAATTACCTAAGTGGTTTTGTGAATATTTTGAATCATTGAAAGATATGCTTCATCAAGTAGTTACACCAGCTAGAAGATTAATAAAATTCAGGCAACTCTGGGTAGATATTTGCATCATTTTATAACTCTGAGCAATACTGTGGTTAGAGGCAGGTTAGTACGTAAGAATGGGAATTGAATTGATAAGGTGACGAAAATTTATCGATTGAAGTAGTTGGGACATATATTACTTGTAATCCCCTACTCTCCAACTAAACATAAGATGTAAATTGATGTAAGAATGAACGTGAGGAAAATTAAATGTGGCTAAGCCAATACGTGGTAGGCACAGTGTTTGAACAGTGTCCATGATATAATTCAGACTAGTGATTGGACATATCCGGTAACAGGCTTCAGAAATGGTTGCAATGGTGTAAATTCATTCATTTTTTGTCCTCTTTTTGATCCTAAGTTTCTAGATGAACTCAACTACTTTTGTTCAATATTATTTTTTTCTTCTCAGATCATACTGCCCATATGTAAGTATTCTTTTGTCATGAATTATTAATTTCAGTTCACTGGAATTTATTTTAGGAACTTTGTCTCATTAAGGTGATGTGGCACACCAATTTAAACAGATGCACATAAATACCTGATCGTATGTTTCTTATAACTGACTGATTGATTAAAATTATTACACACACAGCTTTCACAATGTAATACGACCGTTGAAAAAAAGTTGAAAATCTCATAACTTAACACTGTATTCGAGTTAGAGCATCGCATGATACGCATCCAACTTTTATTAAATTATAATTTTATTTCTGAACTAGAACCTGAACTTTATAGTCTTCAGTTGGTGTTTGGATGCCATCTTGTTAATCTCAAGCATTGTATTCAAACCCTCATGGGACATGCAATAAGGACGTTTTCAAAAATTCTACCTTCAATGAATGATTTATTGATGATGCTTTGTTTTTGGTGGTCACTCAAGTGATGTATATTTGAGGTTAAAATTATTTTCAAGAAAACAATCTATGAAATTTATTTGAATTTTATTTCAAAATCAAACTTTATTTTGTTAACATAATGTTTATGTCTTGATGCCTATAGTTCTTCATTACAAAAGAAACTGAATATAGAATATTCATATAGGTTATGTTCATGTGTTAAAAATGAGGTGACTGAAAAATTATTAAATATATCATCTCCTACCATATACCAAGACATTTTGTTACAATCTTTCGATTTTATAGATGTGAATAGAACAATATTATGTTATCTTTGAAAACTTGTTTGTTTACTATGAGTAGTTTATGTAGAATTCGTAAGGGTTATACATCAACATGATAATTTCCGGAATATTTTGAATTAAAAAAAACAAGTTAAATTATATGTAGAACGCATATTTTACATGAACTCACAAGTATACTTTTGGATAACATAAATGTTAGATAGAAAAACAATCAATTTCTTCTATCATGAATAACAAAAGAAACAACATTTGACAGTTATGAGTAGTAATAAAAGCAAGATAAAAACTATGGGAAACAACTAATTTGAGCAACCAAAATAAAAAAAACCCAGCAGAAACAATGATCGATTATAAAATAACTAGTATTCCGGCAGTAAGCCTTTCAATTCTCAGATTCGAATTCTTTTTAATGCAAACACACATAAATTCTGCTACTTGGAAACGTACGACTGATCAATGAAACATCGTATCACACCTATTACTCCTGGTTATTTTTAAAAAGAAACCGAGTTTACGCTTATATCTCATGTTCTGTGTTTCATATTCATGCTTTGCTTCAACCTTATTTTTTTTTATTTCTCGTATTTATACTACATGTAATCTAATTCTTTGTAACTACTTAGGTGAGAAAATGTTCCATTAAAGTTTACTGGTTTCATTCGTTCTATTATTATGCTATCAATATCAAACAATCTGCACTCTTATTTACAATGACATAAATTTATTTAAACAAATAAACAAACATATTTTTTCATTTTGTAGTAGTATCTTTGATCTCATATCTCTCAAACGTTCTATACTTTCGAGTCGATCTGTTGATATATTCACTTATCTAATTGGTGTGAATTGCACCTAATGAAGTTCACACACTATATAACTATGTAATAACACATTAGAAATATTCATCATACCATTTATACTACATAAATACGATTGTTTTGTCACGGTTAGATTTCTCTTCATTGAAGTGTTTAGTTTAATTCCTAATTGTGATCATGGATTTGCTTATTAAAATTACTATGTTTAAAGTATTTTGCAAGTGATAACAAGCACCAACTTCATTTATCTTTTATAAAGATATCAAAAATCAGGTTAGGTGAAGTGTCCAATGTCTAAACAATCCACTTACGAGCTCCCTTCTCAATTATCCTGATAACTTTACAATCAACATTTAATTGTCAATCGATGCGTCTATCCTTCCATGTTTTTTAAAGACCTCTTAACTTTCCGTACATACGGAGTTTTTAAAACTTGGTGTAGATATTTCTACTCTTTATTTAGCATATGAATATTGAAATAGGTACCGAGATCCTACTGCAATTATATTCGTTTCACAAATCAAAAATGAAATTAGATAAAATGGATAAATAATAGGTGGTCGAGTACCCATAACAAACCCTCGGTTACGGAAACGGGGTGTGGTGGCATAGTTAAATATTAGAAAAGGTCTAATACAGCCTATGCAAGATATCATTAGTTTACAAAACATTGGACGTTAGTGCGAGTTATGTTTAGACATACAGAATCAAACAATAAATTCTTTGCTATAATTAAAATTTATTACTGAGGTTCTAATTTGAAAAAATCAGTCATCGTTACATATAATTGCCTCCTTTCAAATCTCTAACTTTATATTTTTTCATTTTTTCCACTTGATTTTGTTAATTTCTTCTGAACGTGTATATAATGTTTAGACATTACCATCATCAGCATGATTTTTCAGAAAAATCATGCACAAACATAAGAACAAAAATCAAAACAATGGGAGACAACCAAAACAAAGAAGTAAACAACGACAAATTTAAAGTCAATAAGAACCAATCAACGTCGAGGTGCACAGAACAAGCTTTGAGACACATATGGAGAAATTCAAACACTTTACTTCTATCTGAAGTTTGTGATGACGATGTCGTTCAGAAGAACGACGAAAGCTCCACGACCAAACCATCCAGCTCAGAGAACAAAACTCCACCAAAATTATCCACCTGAGCTACAAATCTTCTCCACCATCTCAAATGTTAAGACAATTCTACTGTCTACTGGGGCGGAAACTCGGATATCTACGAAAGCCATCATCCAGAAGATACAAGTGTTTATTAATAGCTGTCTACGCAAAAATACTTCAGATCCGTTGGCCAGACGTTATCAGCAACAATCTATTACTATGGGAGAGAACAAACCACATACCAACGGAGGAAGAAATCAGGAAGAAGAGCTGGAAGTGGATAGGACACACATTGAGGAAAGCACCCAACTGCGTCACAAGGCAAGCACTCACATAAAATCCTCAAGGCCAAAGAAGAAGAAGAGATGAAGAACAAAGAACACATTACACCAAGAAATGGAAATAGACATGAGAAAAATGAACAAGAATTGGATAGAATTAGAAAAAAAAAAGGCCCAGGACAGAGTGGGTTGGAGAATGCTGGTCGGTGGTCTATACTCCATTAGGAATAACAGGAGTAAGTAAATAAGTAATGTATCACTGATCTACATTTCACACCTCTATATATCTGTAAATAAATTAACAACAGAACTCAATGTATAATACATTTCTTTTTGTGTATTGTTTATTTTAATCAATCAGATTTATTGCAAATATCATTCTTATTAATCAATATATAGTTACCATTGTTATTTAAATTCATGCATATTATGATAGTAAAATCATTTTGTAAACAAAAAAAAATATTTATGTTTTCTTTTTTTCTATTCTCAATAAAATAATATTAATAAAGAAATCGTTTAACTTGTTGATAAATATGATTTTTCCAAAATTCTTCTTTTTGTTGACGATTTAATGATTGAAAATTATCAGCTGGTTCTAAATTATCTAAAAATCCACTAATATAAATACGATGAAATAATGTATATAATTCACTCCATGCACCTAATGGCATACCCAATAAAAATAATTCCATTTCTTTACCAGATTTTACACCTTCCATTAATTGAATTAAATTTTTTAATTGTGTTTCATTTAATTTTGCTGCTCTTGCATAATCTGATACTGTTTTACTTTCTAATTTATATAGAAGAAAAATAAAAAAACAAAACAAATTAAAGCTATTGGATTAAAGAAATAAATAGACAAGATTGTTTTGCAATTAAAGATTGAACGCTTGAGATCATGAGTCGATTAAAGCTAAACTACCATGGAAAACCTGAAAGCACTGGACAGCCGTTTCGTCTCATTGTGGGACTCCTCAGCAGTGCGCATCCACGAACACGCCTCACAGGATTCAAAGTTAGGACCTGTCTGTTACACAAGCGAGCGCCTAACCACTAGACCACTGGGCCGGCATCCAATGGTGTTAATATCTAATTTCAACTTATCTATCGTTAATACTACTTATTATCGTGGATGCACACTGCTGAGGAGTCCTACAGTAGAGCGAAACGGCTGTCCAGTGCTTCTAGATGTTCCATGGTGGTCTAGCTTCAACTGACTTATGATCTCAACTGTTTAATTTACTAAAATCTTCACAGAACCCCTTCTGACACTAATTAATGATTAAATCTGGATAGTAATCACATAGTTATAATAAAAGGTTTAAAATTATTGAAAAACAAAAATCAATAAACAACTGTGATTTAATTTCTTCCCAACTACAATCATCATTTGCTATTAAGCTTTTTCTTTATATAAAAACTGTCAATATTCATTTAGGGTTTTAATAATCAAAACATTTAAAATTTATTCATTTAATTAATGATAAAACGTTCCTTTAAATTTAATGGACTGATTTCATCAGTCAGTAAATTTTTCATTTTCAATTTCATTTTTAAGCATTTTTTTCTTTTTCTAGTTTGTAATGAGTGATGTAATGACATTAAATATTTAAAACGGCACTTGCATATAGAAGCATTTGACAGTATACTCTATCCGTATAATGAAATGTCCAAGAAGGTATGGTTTATTTACATGAATAACAATGACATTTTCTACAAGCCCAATTCATATATTTCCATCAAAGGTTTTTTTCAGAATACGTTACACTAGTCGTATTTAATAAAGAAATTAATCAGTCAATTAAAAGCTATTTTAAGATCATATCTGGTTTTTGATCTAGGAAAAAAGAATGAGTGTTTTGATTACAACAATAATTAAAAGTACCAGTTTCTTGGACAGAAATAAATAAATATTCATACTAAATAATCCGAACCATCCAACTTAAGTGAACAACAATACAAGTGGAGATAATCAAATGTATTTGAATACAAAATTACAGAATCTCTCAATAAAATCTAAGAACCAAATAGTGAATTCTTCATTTATAAAATGTTAATCAATTGTCTGAGACTTAATTATTCCTTCGTTTTTACACCAATCACTTTCTGTTCTCATTCTCTTCTCTTTGATCTTCTTAATCATCTGCCGCCAAACATTCAATTTAGATTGATGATACATACTACACATATCTGTCTACGTTGGTCTCATATACCACACTACCATAACAAATGCTGGGATCAAGTTTCATTATCGTTTTGATATGAAATATTCCTTTTTAACTCTATATAAAGTATGTTTATAAAATTTGACTTTAAACCACATAAAAACTTCTTTGAACATATTTTGCCACCCGATAGTTTTGCACTAGTAGTGGTGCAGTAGGGCACTAGAATAAACTTTTGCCATCTTCATTAGATATTTTAATTGTTTGTTTGTTTAATCATCTTTTTTAGCTGTAGTTTTCTTTAAAACGTAGTCATATTGTTGCCAAGATTTACTTCCATTTATTGTTTGTAAATATACAACAAACAAATTAAAGTAGTCGGTCACTCTGAAAAGAAATTTTTTGTTTGACCAACATTTACTTGTACTGTGTGTCAGTTATATATATGTAAAGATTGGATTAACATAGTGCTGATCCGATATCGTGAATGCATATCAAACGAGATCAGAAGGATTCTAACTTTTTAAAATATAAGATTATTCTTTCGAACAAACAATACTCTATGATCAAAACTAGTAAGAATCAAAGATCTAATACACAAGGAGGAACAACAGAATCGTGTTTAAGAAATCAAATGTAGTGACTGTAATACAACGTATGTGGGTGGAAAATCAAGGCAACTGAATATGAGTTTGAAGGAACACAATCTACGCTTAAAGAACATTTTTTAATCTTCAGTTTAGGTAAGAAAAGAGAACAAATCAGCGATAGCATTACACTCGATAAAATTGGGTCATACAATTGATTTCAATGTCTCAAAAACCCTTCAAAAAGGCTTTAATTCTTACAAAGAGACTAACAGCAGAGGCCTTACATATATTGGCAAGTCCAAACAGTTTTAATAGGATAGATGGAAGACAACTAGCTGTCTCACGGCAACTAATAAAACTTGATCTCTTTATTCCATTTTAACTAGTATTTTCTGAATAACAGAAATTACATTCAACGATTGTATTCAGTTATCTTATCTGAATATGTTAAACAATCAAGCGGAACGTAAAAATAAAGCAAACTTTCAGTTACAAATACATTGATCTTTAATGGTTGAGATCATTAGTCGATTGAAGCTAGACCACCATCTGAAAGCACTGGACAGCCGTTTCGTTTTACTGTGGGACTCCTTAGCGACGCGGGAGCGCATATGAGCACTGCCGGGGAGTCCCACAATAGAACGAAACGGCTGTTTTGTGCTTCTAAGTTTTTCATGCTTGTCTAGCTTCAATTGATGCATGATCTCAACCATTGAAATTACCAAAATATCTACAAAAACCCTTCTAATATTCATGTTCTTTGAATTCATTCCTTTGTCTTGTTTATTTACCTTCATTTTATGCATGCTGTAACATTTTCGATTCATATCATTTATAAAAATTGTATGTTTTCTTAATATTTACCGACGAAAGACGATATATAGGGAATGAAATTTCTTCTTTTTTATGTATCCACACAATATGTTATGTTAACACTTTTCGTTTCACACTATATTTTTTTTACACATTAATGCAAATACCTACTTTAAACAATGTTAACGTTGATTGGATAACTTATTCAGTATGCAGTAAACTAGAGAACCATGTACCTATTTACATTCTATAATTTTGATGTTTGATTAAATTTCCTTGAAAACATTTAGACCAGATTGATAGGCGAAATGTTGAATTTACTTCAAATTCATTCATTAAGATTTTACAAATACATGCTTCCTCTTAAATGTCTCACATTAACTATACTATGAAACTATTCGATCAAATTTAGACAAAACTTCTTATTTACAAATAAATATTATTTTCTTTTAATGTATAATTTTTTTTCATTTATCACTATCATTATTTATCTAAGAAATATTCATTGAACATAAAGATGTTAGAACAACATATATAAGCGAACAATATTGTTTTCGATTAGATCCTCATCAGGCTTTACTCTAATATACAGTAATATTTATATGCATATACGAAATTATTAAACCAATCAAGGTAGTTTATAAATCAATGATAACAATGGAAAAGATTACATAATAAGTAAAATGTGATGGTGTGACAACAGGTGCATTAGTTTTGATAAGCAATAATAATAAAGGTTCAAATCAATGTTACATAATCTGAAATAGGTCAATGATTAAAAGATGTTAAACAACTTCATATATTAAAGAATTTCAAATATCTCATAGTTTCATTTTCGTGATTATATCTCGAAACACTTCGTATAAACAATAAACTAACATCATTATAATGTTTCTTTTTTTTGCTTTGTATAGAGTCAATATAATGTTAGTTTTCTAGTTCTATTATTTTCTTTCTCTTTCTTTCTTTTTTTCTTTCTTTTTACATCTTTTATTCTAAAAATCTCAATTGAAATAATATTACCGGTTATGTTTATATTGTTACAATTATATAGATTATAAAAATTATAGAAGTTTTAACTGGCGACAAACTATTATAAAATATGTAAATTGTATTTGTTGTTTTAATGTTTAGAAATGTTTTATATAGAATGAGTTAAATTTATATCATGCAAATGAAATTTCTTCATGATTTAATTATGTTACATTTATTAAGTAGTCAAGACTATACTGGAATATCCATGGTATCAACTTGTAAAATTCAATTTTGGTGTGGTGAATAATAATTATCTATATATATATATATACATCTATTGGAAGCAGCGGGAACATTAAAAGTAGACGATCTGTTGTTTTAATTTTGCGACAATAAATTAAATTTTAAAAAATATTTTCCAGAGTAAAAAGTATTTTTTTTTTAAGAATTAAGAAAAACGACCTGAAAAGTTTGTGACTTTTATTTATGGTTTTCGTCCCATCTTTTTTTTTAACATGTTGATTGGATCTGAAATGAAATGTGGTTAGTCAATCACTGATTCATTTGTACTACACAATTTGTAGTCATTTGGGTGAAGTAATTTAAGGGATAAGTTTCTTTATAAGTTTTATTTATATAAAAGGGACATTTTACAATTTTGTAAACATGTTCTTAATAGTATCATAAGGTTTATTGACAGCATCTACATTCTTAGTTTAAAAGACGAGTTGATCTAAACTAGACCACCACTGAATACCTGGAAGCACAAAATAGCCGTTTTGTTCTTGTCCGGGACTTTTCAACAGTACACATCCACAAACCCACATGCAGGACTCAATGCCACGTCTTAAGCTCTAGATCACTGAGCTGGCAGTCAACGGTGTTGATGTTTAACTCCAATCAATCCATGATCTTGAGCAACTCTTCATTCATTCGTTGCAGTAGATAACTATCTCACGTTTGCTTCGAATTAGACTCCACTGATCATGGCATCTCAGTAGAACCCTATGAGTTACATCTCAAAGGTATTCACTAGTGAGCACATGATTGGTATCAGTATGAAGGATTTGTAAAGTTTGTAATATTTTCCCAATTATAATTACGGGTCAATGTGAGGTAGATCAGCACTAAAAACCTTGGAGCACTATTAAGGTGTCCCATATTAGGACTAAACAACTGTTCAATATTCTAACTAACAGGATGATATATGCAACTGTTCGTCTTCAATGTTTGTATGTGTTGGCATTTTATTTATATTCCAAAGATATTGTGTTCACATAGTACAATAATAATGAATAAATAATACAGTTAAACACTTTTTTCGTAAACTGTTTATTTACTATCATTTACATTCAAGAATGAGTACATTATAAAACGAAGTATAACTTTTTACTAAAATAATAAAAGTCATAATTAAAGCAAAATATTTTAGCATTCTTTAAGAGTAGAATATATTCATTATCTGGCACTGGGACTTATAAATCCACTTCATCCTCATTATAATACTTAAACAGTACGTATTGTTATCTTTATGTATTTAGAAGTGTAATCTATACAAATATAATAATAATAATAATAATCTCTCATTCATAATCATTGTTATTTCATACAGCAGTTTCATTAGTATTTTCCTACCTTAATCAGGCAATCAACTGTAATCTTAATTCATAATGAATTATGAAGAAATATAAAATGAAATGCAAAATAATTCTATTTGATTTAATGTGAAAATTAATTAGAAACAGTCATAAATAGAAGTAACATAGTTCTAGAAAAAATCTAGAATAAAGAAAGAATAATGTATGAATATAGACTAAGTAATAATGAGAAATAGAATGAATACACATAAATTCGAAGCAGGAATAAGTATCAGTCATGTAGAAATAATCGTTTTCTATTTTTTTGCAAAGTTAGTTATTATTGCTCTCACTAATAAAGATAATGTCTAGACTTTAGTTAAGATTAGACTTTAGTGATTGTCTGGTTAATAAGTGGAATAAATGAATAATTAATGGAAGATTATAGAGTTCTATTAATTAACCATGATCAATTGAATCCAACTGTGTCTGGTTTTGTAAGCACTTAGAAGAAATACTAAACGGTTTGATAACCCACCATAGAGTGTTTATAAGTTAATATGTTCATTCAAAAATATTAGGACAAAACTTGAGAACCATGAGTCGTTCTACTGAAATGAAACAAACTTTGTCCTATAAAGGTTTTTAGTCGTTGTTAGCCTCTGAAGATTTTTAGACAGATATCATTTTTAGTAAGACATAATTCAAACGAAATTTATGATTTTATGTTACTATGTAAAATTCGTCAAATCTGTAGTTGACTGGTTGAAACTCAATTCCACTGAGCATCAAGTCAATTTGACTCAATGCAAACCATTGAACGTTTACGAAACTGTCTAAATAAACAGTTTACGTATCAGTTCTACAAAGTTTTACAAAGTTTTCTTTAGAATAAAAGAGAAGTTTTTTGATAACACCTTTTTCTCCAAACATGTTATCAGTTTTAACTGTGACTCTAAAATGTCAGCTGCGAGAGAATTTCACTTAAATAATATGTCTTCTTCAAAAAGGCATTTCTATTATTATGTTCATCAGTTTGATATTGTTACATAATACAATAAAGGATGTCATTCTTTAAAACAATGTATTTATTATACGAATAGTCGTCAAATAGTTTGACAGGAATTGGGCACCGAGTATAGAGAAGACATTTTATATAAAAATATGTTTATCAGTAAACTAGTTTTTCAAAGGGGCAGAATTGTTTTCATAATAGATGATCACAGGAACTAAGGGATATTTCATTCTTACATTAGTATATTCTTAACTAAAAATAATAAAAAATAGACAACTAATATGAAAATATGCAGGTTTGTATTGTTCATTTTGTAATGTTACGACACAAGTTGATTTACGGTAGTAAAATCAATTTTGATTTATATCCTGAAACCCGACACAATGTTCAATGTAGTGAATCAAGAATGAAATCCTGCCACTTAAAGAAAACCGGAAATGACGTATGAAATGATGGGTTTTTAATGAATGAAATCAAATATTATCTTCAAATGACGCTTTAGAATGTGATAAGTCTTGTGGATTCGAACGCTATATTGGTTACCTAAGCTATTCTGTTACCCCGAAGCTAGAACTGCACCGCGACTTGAACACCAGAGAGAAGACGTAAGTACGAGAGAAAATACTTTATCCCAAGGTTCATGTTTGTACAGAAAATAAAGGGTATTTATAGCTGTTGGCGTCTGTTAAATCAACATCATATTTCAGCCAATCCGTTAACGTCATAATATGCTATCAACCAATAGTAGCACGCTACTCTGGAATTCTCGAACGTTCCATCATACTCTGATTGGCTAGGACCCTTTGGCTCCTTTTTGGGCCTCTGGAGGCTTCGTTGAAGTTCTCCGGAAGCCGATTCAGCAGAATGATTACTTACGATTATGTGTTGTTTATGAAAGAATTACTGCATTAGATGGTAAGTGTATTTATCTTGATTTCAACTAGGTAGAGGGTTTGGGGGATTAGATCAAAATTTAAAAAATGCTACAAATCTACACTAAACATTAATAATTGACATTAAAACTAATCATATTAAACAAGACTGACTTGATAATAAAGATTTTTACCATATTTTAATGATAGATATGACTACAAATAATTTGATTTTGAATTCTAACACAATTTCGTCTTTTTAGCATAACCCTGTGAACTTAAAATAGATATATCCAATCAAATAATATCTCTTACCAACAAGTTTGGCAGCTAATTCTTCCGGCGTTCCATATCCTAAGAACTTTGGTACTAGCCAGTTTTGATAACGATGTATAAATCCAGCTAAATGTTCTTGTGCTGGCCTTAACTCTATCAGAAAGTGAATAACAAAATTTATAAACATTAGTCCTAGAAAACTGTAATGTTGGCAAATGAAAAATATTTTAAAAGATATATGATTAAATTCACTTGGTATTGTTTCACTTGTATCTTCCAATTGTTATTTATGATTGCTCAGTCTCATGTTTGCATATGTGCATCCTGTGCGGATTGCCTCGATTTAGCCTTAATTCACAAGTTTTTAAGCAAAGATGGATAGTGACTAGCAGTGGAATCCAGGACGAGTGTTTCGTTCTATTTGATACGTTTATTTACACTAAATAGTAAATGAAAACCATCAGTTTGAAGATTATTCTTTAAACAACTCTTCAGTTCATTTAATTGATACGAATTATGATGGATAATTTTATAGGAATTATACATGACACAACTAAAATTATGTGATCCAACAATAATACAATAATTACACGTTTTTGGATGTTTTTGATACCTATAAACAACTGTTAAAAAAGATGAAATAATTATGCTTCATTGACTGTTTGACAAAATTTTAAATAATCATTAGGAAGTGTTACTAGCACTTTCACTATCTGGTTTTATTGTTATAGGTAAAATCCATAGTTATTATAATACTAATTCAAATGATATAAGTGATTAGATTGAAATAAAATTTGAATAAAGCCAATTTTAGTATCAGAAGGGGTTTTGTGGAGATTGTAGTAATTTAAACAGTTGAGATCATGAGTCAATTGAAGTTAGACTACTATGGAAAACCTGGAAGCACTGGACGGCCGTTTTGTCCTATTGTAGGACACCTCAGCAACTTAGGACCTATCAGTCTCGCGTCAGGCTCCTAACCAACTAGACCACTCAGCCGGCATCCAACGCTGTTAATGTCTAATTTTAACTGATCCACGAAATTGAGTGACACATTCACCATCGTCATCAGTAAGTTACTACCTCACAACTGACCCGGTTGAACTACACTGGCCGTCCAGTGCTTCCAGGTTTTCCATGGTGGTCTAGCTTCAACTGACTCATGATCTCAACTGTTTAAAAGCCAATTTTATTCACTGCAATGTAAACTGCTATGACGAGATGAAAATTCAAAATTAGATTGATTTATTCATTATGATTTTTATTCAACATTAGTTCCTTTTATTTCAATTTGATAATCACTCAGTATAGATTTTGCTTCGTTTTCCTCTATGACATTTTATTCTATATCACATACGATATTCTTGTATGATTTATTCTGATTGTTAATCAAAAATGGGTGTACAAACCAATGTATAAATGAGCGTATTTTCGACTAGACATGTCGGGATTACTTGTGCTTCTGGTTGATTGCAGAATATATTTCCTCGTTTCGCACTTTGACTTCTCTCTCTAGTTAGCAGGGATGGAACGCATCAGAATAGCTAGCTTATTGGTCTTTGGTCACAAAGTTGTTGTTCCGTTCACAAATTGGGTGAACTCGTAATCGTTTCAAACATAGCATAAACATAACATACGTAAATATATTTCGATTCACAATGAACAAGACTTTATTTGCAGTATTTTTTTTGATGGCTTAAAATATGTTGAAGTAACCAATTTAATAAACAAGATTAAAAATGATAAATCCATTGAAGTCTTTTGTCTAATAAAATATAAAGTATGTTTTCGAGGAATTTGTTGAGAATTGGCCGAATTATATCATCTGGTACACTTTAGAAATCAAATGTTTCATTTTTTATAATAATGAATTTTATAAATACGACAGATATTTGATTTTTATCTGATGATATGAGTTCATTTATAGTGAGCGTTAGTAAGAATTAAATTTCTTAGAATCTTAAAAAATTATTATATTTAACTTACTTGCCGTACACATTTCAGGATCTTCATCATATTCATCTGGACAATCTGGTTCTCCATCACAAATAAAATCAAAAGATAAACATATTCTAGGTGTTCGACAAGGCCAAGGTTGACTTTCTGGACAATCATTACCGCGTTCTACAGCTAAATAATAAAGTAACAATATAATATATTGTTTAACAGAAGTTTTATTATAAAATATTATGAGTTTATAACTTTTGTGAATGAAACAATTCAAGTTAATATTTGCAAAGATCTTTCATAATCTTTTGAATTTTATATTAAAACTAAGTATTATTAATTTCTAATGACCTTTTTTGATTTTTTTTTTTAATCTTATTGTATCAGACATAAATTTATCACAATTCTATACTAATTAGTGATTGTATATCATTGTATTATCCTTAAATGAACATTTAATATATAACATACTTTAGACTATTTGACTAAATTTCAGTTTTGTTTTAAAACTCTTTTCATTATTTTAGCTACGAAAAGCTTTTTCTTTGTGATTTTATCAAAAAAAGTCATTTATAATTAACTTAACCTTTCAAATCATTCGACTAAATATGTGAATTAGTGGGAAAATTAAATTGCATAAATATTATTTTATGAGAACGTTTTGGTAATGAACAATTTATTTTAATGATTAGGGAATATAATATTATAGTCTCTAGGGTATTCAAATCTTTCAAATTTAATACCCTTCAACATTCCTTATTAAAATAGTTTGTTAAGTAGCTTGGACTTAAATATATATGCAATACTGTACAGTAGCAAATGATTTCATAAACTGATCTAGTTTGATTGTTATATGAACGGATTATAAAAGTCATTTCGATTATCAAAGGGTACTGTAACGAAGAATTGTATCTTTTATTAAAAGAAACATTTATTATATAGGTTTCATTAAATACTGCGTAGTTATTAGTTAAACATGAATTAATGTCAAATAATTTCATTAAGGATTTCCTCTATGTTTTTTATAGCTTTGAATTACTTTTATTGTATTTGTGCCGTTAGCCGTATATAATAAAAGTAAAACTGAGTACCTTTCAATTAGATGGTGGTTGGAGGTAGTCGACAGGAAACCCTGGACCCGGGTTTCGTGCTACTTGGCACTCGTCAGCAAGGTGTACCTGTAATCTTTAGGGAACTGGTGCTCCCTCACGGATTCGATCTCATGTCACCCAGTTTCATAGTCAGAGACGTTACCACTGTGCTATCGGAGCCGCGATTGACCTCCTGATACTGATCAGCATTCAACAATAAGGACTAGACATGAATGACATTGATCGCCACCCAGTGATCATTCAGTTGTAATTTAATTTTTATTGACTCAACGCTTAAACAATAACGATTTTAATAAAGTTGGGAATAAATATAAATCCATTTTAATACATATTAACGTAATTATCAGATGTTTATTTTGTTATACCACAAAAAAAATGAATGAAATTCCAATTGTTATGTTGCTGGTATTTTATATTTAGCTATACGACAAGTTCAAAAGTTTACTATTTCTACTACTGATAAAGAATATGTCTCAAGGAAAAAAGATTTACGATAATCCTCTTGAAAATCTGTGACGTTGATGGTTTTTTAGGTGATAAAACAATGAACGTTTATTAGTAATTCAAACGTCAAATTGAAGAACATATTACAGGATGTTGTTTATACTGTTGAATTTGTTCATTGTGTTAAAATTTGAACAATATTTCATGTTATCCTTATAGTAAGAGATATTAATTAACTTAACTAACATTACAACCGTAAACTAGTTTTAGTCACCGGCTAATATCAGTTGAAAAATACATTTTCTAAACGGCTTTTTATCTAGTGAGTCTTAAAATTATTGTTTTAAATATCTTAGAAATACACTAATTATATTATTTGTTTTTATTGACTGAATTAAATAACTTTTTAGAAGATATTGCCGGCTCAATGGTCCAGTAGGTTAAGCGTTCGCGCGCAAGACTGAAGGCCCTGGGTTCGAATTTCGCGAGTGAGATCGTGGATGCGCACTGCTGAGTAGTCCCACAATAGGACGAAACTGCCGTCCAGTGCTTCCAGGTTTTCAATGGTGGTTTAACATCAATCGGTTCATGATCTCAATCAAGAAGATATTGAATATATTCAACTGATTTTATTGATGAGACTATAATTTATGGACAACCTTTGAGTAACACCAAAATGACCTTGAAAATGTTCATCTACTTAGTAGGGTTAAATGAGCGTTATAAATTAGTGTGAGGGATCAGGATTTACATTTGAACATTAGAGTTAAGAATTATATTTAATGTTTACATCACGAACTGACATCAGCCCAAATATCGAAATGGTCTTTAGTCAAATGAGTGTATGAATCTCACTCCTAATATCAGTCTAAATACTGTTTTTTTTTCTGTATTTATTTAATGACTTAAATGAATAAATCTAAAATATTAAAGGGTAAAACTGATGAGAATAATGGTTAAAAAAAAAAGTAATAAAAAATAAAATCGATATTAGATGAATAAATTTTTAAGTAAATTTGATCTTGTAGTGAAGAAGGAAGATTATGAATTTTAATATCTAACTCCTTAATAAATTTAAGTAGATCACTTCTGTGCTTTAATATTATGTAAAACACTGGTGTTTCTTTTAATTTGACAATAAAGATGAAAGAATATTTAACCTATGAACTTGTTTTTCCGTTTTCGATTTAACTACCATCAATTTTCTATTACGATGAAAGCACGATGAATCTATTCGCATTAAAAATATTTTTAAAGAAATGAGATGTGATGCAATTAAATTACACGACTTAGTATTATTGCTTATTCACCTTTTATTTAGCGTTTAATGTGAAAGATATACGATGCCAAATGGATAATTTTTAGGGAGAGAAAGCGTGAAAGATCTTTCTTTCTACAAGTTTATAGACATTTTTGTTGACTGTGCTGCATCGAACTTCTAGTTAGCAAATTTACTCCATCTTCAGCAATATCTTTTGATTAAATACGATTGAATGAAACAAATAATCCGTCTAGAAGGCCTTGTTTGAATAAAAATAGACAGATGCTGTTGAAAATAGCAAAATGTTCCATTCATGTTTTCAATAGAACAAGCATTCAATCTATGCATACGGCCTACTTACTGACAAATGCATTCAAGAAAAGAAAATGTTTTTTTTTCATCTATGCCTTACTTTAAGATTGTTCTGAATTGTAGTTTGTGTAATTGAGTTGGAAATACACATACTTACAGGTATGCTGTAGCTTTCGTAACTCTAATGAAGAAACATGTTTTCTAAAAAATATTCGTCTTAAAGCTTGACATGTAGACGGAGATCACTTTTACCCATCTACTGCCACATTGGTGCCGTTGCTGCTTTAAAGAAACGAAAGACCTAATTCACCTTAGTTCAAGACCTAGAATTGTAAGCCAGGTTTAAATACTACACATCACTAAATGACACACAGACCCCGTGTTAACCCATTAATAATGACATTGCTAAACCACCACCCTTCAAGTTGATCTGTTAATTAAATGGTAAGTATCATTTCGTGATGGCGTTATTTTTAGCTGTTATATGAACACTGATTTCTGTGTAATTGTATACTGTGTTCCCATCTGACTCGTGAAATGGATAAGAAGCTTGACATAACCTTAAGCAAAAAATATTGAAATAGTTAAACACTAACTGTAGAAACTCATTCAAGTTTTTTTTAAACTGTCGATTCCTCAAAAGTACGAAAACCAACTTTAAAACTTGTTCTATAAAGCGACGGATTACGAATGAATCATCCAAAACCAGTTCAATAGTCTAAAGTAAACTAGCTATCGGATCCTACATGAGTCATTAAGTATTAGGCTGTGTGTGGCTATGTCACCCATGAATTTGATGTTCATGTAGAAAGTTTTCTTTTCTACTGTAGTTATCTGTGTTTTTGGTGTTTTCGGCTTTATGTTCTTATCAATGAAAATCTAAGGATATTCATTTTTAATAAATATATCCTTCAGGTGGCCCAATTATTCCTCTATGATGTCATGACATTTAATCTCAATTTCAATATTTATCTTATCATGCTGAGCTATACGTTTCCCTATTTATCTTTTGATAAATACTTACGCCATTAACAATCAAACGATTATTAAACTTTCCTTGTTTTGTTTTTTTAAAGAATTTTTAATAACTTTGTTTATTTAATCTCACTGTCAACATGCCTAACAGAAGTTTATTATCAGTGTTATTATCATCTTGTTAAAATAAGTATATATGTATATATTTGCGAGTGTACAGCTTTGAAAATAAATTCGCCGAAAAGACAACTTTTTGCTGAACTAATCTTTCTTATTTAAACTTATCCTATATGGAAATTGAAAAAAAAGAATGATTTGTTAGGTAGAATGGAAAAACAATCTGTTAGATGGTATAAACCTAGTAGTCATAAATCATTTTATTTTCAGAAATAAGTTTTTTTTATTGATTACGTTTTATTAAGTATAAATGACAATGTTAGCTTTTGAATAGGTTCATTATATAAATGAGCATTCCCTATTATTATCATCATTATTTTCATATTTCTATCCATTCAGTGTTGTTCTCGTCTCAATTATTATTAATCGAGAAATATAATGAACATAATACAAACAATAAAGTTAGAATGGAATCGACATATTATAAAAACCTCCAATAAACACTAATGAATGAATAATAAACAAAATCGGTTTATCCATCCGTCAAACTTTTTCAATGATGCAATTAAAAGAAGAAATTTATAAAAACAATGAATTAAATTGACAGAATATTGTTGAATTTAATGAATAGACTCAATCAGTTTTACTATTTTATTTTAATAATAACCCATTTTGAATAGTGGCTAGCAGTGGAATCCATACGCACAGTATGCATATATGCCAATAACAGACTGATCAGTTGCAGTCTTAAACCTCAATGGGAAGATACAAGCCAAACAATACCAAGTGAATTTAAATTCACCCCATTGCACAAGCAAGTGGTTATCAGGACTCAGTAGCTGAGTGAATAACGCGATGGCGTTTGAAGCGAATGGTACTGGGTTCGAGTCCCAGAGTGAACATCAACTCTGAGATGCAGGTACATTCAGCTGACGAGTCCCGAATGGAACAAAGCGCGCGTC